TACTGATGTAGTTTATCTATAAATATAATAACCAGAACTTCTTTATTTTGTCAGTGGTTAATAAATCTCATACTTCATTGCTGAATACAGCGAACATGGAAATAAGGTGTTATTGAACTAGTGAATGGAAAAGTTCGAGTTGTAAAATGACAAACGATATGAACTGTGTGTGTGTATGTGTATGTATGTATGTATATTTGTGTGTATACATATATATATTTGTGAGTATACAATATATTTATGTGTGGGTGTGTCTGCGTCTGTATGTGTATGTCTGCCAACTTATTTGCATATCCTACGATCGAGCTGGACTTCAATAGACCCCAACAATTATCAATCTCATTGTATTCTATCTTTGACGGGTAGTGTCATTTGTCGCAGAATAATTGTCATTTTTCTTTCCAACATTTTTATTACCAATTAATCAGATCACCTCAACTTTCTTCTAGAAAATGATATTGATCTTTTATTCTTAATGTAACCATATATTGTATTTTAAATCAATAAATAGATGAGCTTTGTGATGTTACTTATATCGACATTGATAAATTGGAATAGCGTTGAAGTTTCTTAATTATGATTTAATAAATTAAATAGCTCTTGTCTTATTTCTAGCTCTTGGTTTATTTCTCTGTATTTTGCTCTTTTTTCTATATTATAGACACTTTATTAAAGAGAGAAGATGGAAAAACAAAAAAATGCGTTATTGGTTGCAAAATTGTTTAGTGAATTTTTTTCAAATTTTCAACCAAGTAAGTAAACTTACAGACATTTTAGACCAAAATAACGAATACGACTGTTTGGTTATTCAGAGCAATCCGCATTTCACACACGATAAATAGTGCCTTATGTAGGCATTTTATAATTTATATTAATTTTATCTAAACAAATAGCTGTAACGATACATACATGCACTTTCGAATGATTACTTAGCGCTGTATTTATAAATATTCAGCTAATATCTTCTTGTATCTAACGTACTTTTCTATCATATATCATTTTTATTTCATATTACTGTATAAGACTAAAAAAAGCAAAAAAGAAATGCGCAAAAAGCATTGCAAGCACATAAAATCATTTGTTTATCAAATCTTTTAATCTATTTATTGCTTTAATTGCCTTAGTAGAAATAATCCAGCTAATTGAAACTGTGAAATTAAAATAATATTACCATTTTCGTTCCACATCAGTCATTCTTTATATCTTAACACTCTACATAATTATCATCTCTTAATGCATTATCATTATCATCGTCATCATTAGGTCTTCAAATCAGATAACAATTTGATCATTATTACGCTAGACATAATGGCGGGATGAATAATAAAAGTGTAAAGTTTAATTGCATGATAAAAAATAATTGTAAAATTATTAGAAATTGGTTTTTATTTTTTCCCTTCCTCCCTCTTTCTCTCCTCCTTTCTCTCTCATACATCATCAATCATTCTAGTTATCATAATGATATAGTATCACAATTTGTGATCATTAAACTTTTCTATTGAAAGAATTTCAAACTAATTATCAACAAAAAAACAACAGAATACAACGGGAAAAAAAAAGAGATGGAGAGAGAAGGGAAGGAAGTAAGGAGAAAGTTAAAGAGAGAGAAAGAGGAAACAGTGTTGCTATCAGAAATACTTACTGCTTATCTATGTAAATGCATTTTTCCAAATACGAATTACGCTTTGGCGTACTATCATGTCTCTTTCTATCCATGTGCAAATCACATCTGTCCTTCTCACATCGTATCCTTCATTCATTACTGCCAAATATGTATGAATGTGTGCCATACCTGTACAGGTGCATATTCATATTGTTGTAAGATGAAAGAGAACAAATTATATATATTTATTTATTTAGTCAATCAAATTCAGCTTTTAGAAATTTTTGCTTTTCAATTTCTAAAACTGCATTATCACAACTATAATTATTGAAAATTTAAAAAGTTTCAAAATGAAAAAATTTATTATTTCAAAATTTCAAATTTCTTTTCTGTTTTACTGATTTTATTTATTCAAGTAGAAGTATTTTCCGCACATATTAGCGTTTTTTTTTTTTTATGATAACAAGAAAAATTGGTTTTTTTTTTGTATATTCGTTTTTTATTATCAATTTGTGAAAAAAAAAACTAAACTTTTTGATGATAACAGGGAAAAATTTGGTTTCTTTGTATATTTGTATAAAAAGATCAAAAAAAAAGATATCACAGCAATGTTAAATACTAATAATCAAATTGATGTACGGAAATTTTGTTTTCTAATCATAATTCATTTTGCACTTCAAAATAAAATTTGAACAAAAATAATTATTTCCCACTTTTAGTAATGGAACAAATTACATTTACCGTAAAGTAATGTTAAATACATTTTATGAAACGAGAAACTGGTGTCATGCAATAATATTGGCATAACTGAGTTATATTAATGACTTCTATTCTCGTTTGATTTGTGGATTTATTCCATTAGGAATCTTAAGAATCTGAATATTTCTTTTATTCTCACCTAATCTTTTAGCCTAAATTTGGCCGAATTTAGAGCAAAATTTTTTTTTCTTTTTTTTTGGAAAGAAATTGAATTTCAAATGTAACCGCTGATGGAAGAAAAAATGAAAGAAGGAAAAGGAAGGATTGATTGATGAACAGAATAGGAGAAATGAAGAAATGTTAGAGAATCATCGAGGTTAAAGGTTTTGAAAAGAGTCGAAATGACTTCAGATTTAGACACTGTAATCAAAAATTTTTGCAGACGTTAAAATAAATGATACATGTTTAGTCTAATGTAATGTGATTGCAATTTCATCTAAACCAAATTGTTTGTCCTTTTTGAACTAATCCTAGAAAATCGCTTAATCGACAAACATTGTTCAAAGTGGTACGATTAGAGAAACATCCCGACAAATACATATAAAGAAATAAATTATCTTCAAGTATTTCAAAATGAGTTTATCCTAATATTGTTATAGTTTTATCGCAATTGCACTTACTTCACCATCACCATCGTCATTTTATTATTGATATGACATGATCGGCTAGGCGATTCATCCCTCATCTTTCATTGTCATCATTCACTTATATTTAAACTATAAAGTTAATGTAACTATATAATTGGTTTAGTGTTAAATTACTGTTTTTCTTTGTTAGTATTTTCGAACCCTGATTAACTTTTTATTACTGAGATGTTAAGGTCTTTCTAATATGATATGATATGACCTGATGTGAATTAGAAGTTAGAAAGTATGTTGCAATTGCGATCACTGTTTGTTAATACTTAAACAGTTAAGAAAGCGTAAATCATAAAGTTCTTGCAATAAAGGATAAACGAGCGGGATAGTAGAATGCAGTAGCACACGGAAAGACACAAAGCAAGCAAACAGTTATCAGTGCTTTTAATCAAATCATCGTTTTACTTTTTTTTTCTTACAAAGTAGAAATTTGTGGTGACATCATTTTAACAGTTTTTAATGCGGACAAAATTCACATGCATTTCAGTGCAAAGTAGGAAAGACATAAAGTTATAGCACCATTCTCTTCAATCATATAATTAAAAATTATTTCGCATCATTTGACTTCTCACCTTATCCTTTATTACCACTTAGTTCACTAAATTACTGTTAATCGTCGTTTTAATTATATGGTTTTTACTTCTTCAATAAATCAAGTGCTGTATCCATTGCTGTAATTACAAAAACCCTTCCATCCATCTATCGAGGTCTATCAGTATTGAAGCGTGAAATTTCTCCAGTATATATCACAAACTTATTGAAAAGTGAAATGATATATCCTCTTCTGAACATTTCATTCATTATCAAACAGTATACTTCTCATCACTGATAATTATTAACTTTTTTTTCTCCGAAATAATATTGCAGAACTTTGATTTTATTAGTTAACAAGCAAAAATGGTATGAAAATTTTTAGGAAAGTAATGATTTTTAACTTATATCGACACATTTTTATTTTCTTTCAAAATTACGTTTTTTTAAACTAATTTGCTTCATAATTTTATTCTTAGGTAATTGTTTTTTAGAAATGATGATTTTGAAGAAAAAATCCTTTTTGCTATCAGTGTCTTCGGACATTTTCGACTACTAATTTCGTTTTATTTCGATCTATTGATTAGCAATATAAAGTGAAACTGGTGAAGTGAAATTACTACAAAGTGGTTTGGTGTAGGATAGCTCGAGATTTGAGAATAGATAATTTTTCAACTTCCTCACTATCCACTCATCCTGAATCCTTATGAAAGATCAGAGGTTGAGATTTTATTTCTTCTCAATTTTTTTTCTGTCTTCCATCATCAATTTTTCTTTTGGTGTAGCTAAAAAAGTGTGCAATTACATGGGTTTTTTTTTTTTCATGCCATTGAAGCTGATAAAATTTTAAGCAAAGAGAAGCAAAAAGAATGAACAACAAAACTCAGAATAGGATTAGGCGTAAAAATAGGTAAAATAAAAAATCAAAGTTTTTTTTTTTCTTCATTAATTATTTCTATCAGTATTAAATGCTTTCATATGTAAAGGTACATCGAATTTGAAATTTGTAAGGCGCAAATTCAATTCCCAACAAAAAAAAAAGTACTTCAATTTCAAACGATTAACAAGGAAATTTGAAATTTTATTCGAAGAATGTAAGAAACATTCTCATGTTTCATTTTAGAAATGATATATATATACAAATACATGACATGTATCCATTACATGGCATCTGTTTCAGCAAACTAACGATGATTGCATTTTAATGCTAGAGAAGGTAAACAGACTAAAAACCGTGTTAATCTTCTGAAAAAACAGTAAACAGTAATTATGTAGCAGGGTAACGAAAGCTACGAATATCGGAGACAAACAATAATGAAATGCATTGCTAGATTAATAACGCAAAAGTGCAAAAGTAAATCGCATGTTTTTCTAGCATGAGCATATCTGGTAGCAAATACGCAAATGGTTAATTGTAACAGAGGTAAAGATCAGTAATCGTGGAATGGTCATGGATTATCAATAATCCATCATTTTCTCACTGTCTCTTCTTTCTTCCACATCATTAGGACTGCAATGGCGCAATATGATCTGTGAGAAAACTGATAAAATAGATCATTCTTTGATGAAAAGGAAATTAGTGAAGAATTAGTAGTAAGTTATATAAAGATAAAGCAAGAAAAGTAAAAACAAAAGTACCAAGCTAAATAAAAAAAAAGCAGAATGTTTTGTAATCATATCAGCAGTTGTGCTACCATAGCGCTTTTTCTGCAATCCCATTTTTTAATTTCTTATTTTGAAATTGAACGGCAGTTTTCAATTTTTTATGTCCCTAATGCCTTCACTTGCAATTCATTATCAATTCTGTGGTGTTAGTTTTCCATAAATTTGCATAAAATTTTAACAAATGTATGAACAATTTCATGATTTCATTATCAATGAGCTATTGTTTTTGAATTATTCTCGATTAGAATGCTTCAGAAAGGCAAAAATTTGAAAAAAAAAAAAAAAAAAGATTAACGATTATACATTCAAAGATTTTTCAAAGTGATTTGGCTTGAAACTTAAAAATTATTATAAATTTAATTATCATCCTAAGTTTAACTTTTCTGATTTAATGAAATTTCAAAGTGATACAGTCATGACATTTTTGGGTCTATTGCTTTATTTATGGAAAAGTAATAAGAAAAAAAAAAAAAAAAAGATTTGTTTAAAAAATTCCCAGTCGTTATTCCTTTCAAAAAATTGCCAAAAAGTGAGTGGTAGCGTTTTTCGAATTTCGAATTTTATCGATTGCTCCATAAAGTATTCAAAAGGTAAGGGCGGCAACGATAAGCCATGTATATCGTTTCATAGTGAAAAGAAAAAGAAATGATAAAAGGGTTAAGAAAGTGGGTATAAATTTCAGTTTCTAAATACAATTATCTCTTTTCTTCCATTTTTTTCACCTGATTATTCCCATTTTCAATCATATTAATTAATAGATTGAAACAAATAGTTAGAACAGTTTTTTTTTTTGGAGAATTGATGATCGATTGTACCAGACATACAATTAATTAGCTCGTAGGTAGGTATCATTGAATATCAATGAATTTCCCGGATAATTTTGATTTCTGATATTTCTTTTTTTTTTCTCAATTGAAATTAAGATTTCTCTACAAACTTTTTGCTTTTTTTTTTCAGAATAACAAACAACTGTGATAAAAGAATTGAAATTTCTGCCACGTTGTTAGCATTGTCCTCTATCACTATAGCCAGTGATATTGTAGGGCTCCTCTGAAACACACCGGAAATCATACCAGCTGTCATTGATTAGTGCGAATTTATAGAAACTAAGAAATTAGAAAATGAAAACAATTCTTTTCTTCTTCTCCCTCTAAAGAAAAGAGAAATATTGTGGAAAATCTTTAATTCATGGAAGAATTTAAAAGGAGGAAATATTTCGGTTTAAACACAATTTTGTGATCATAAAATAAACTTATTTAAGAGTCCTATGATATTATCAGATAAGATATTTCAGGATTTGAAAGTTATTTATTGTTAAAAATAAAATAATAAAATTAAAAAAGTAAAACTAAAGTTTGTCTACAAATTTTTTACTTCTGAAATGATTATATTTTGCAATATAATCTTTCTAAAAATGATCAAAATCTAGAATAAGCATAGTTCAATTTGATTTTTTCGTTTTACATCATTTAATTGTTAGAGAATGAAACTTAAATTCATCATATTTAATGAAAAGGGAAGGCGGATGTACTGATTATCTCTCAAATTGCGGAATGCATTATTTATTGTAGCTCTTTTTCCTCTGAACTAACATTTTCCTTATGATTGATGGGCTCCTAAAACATTTTACAGCAAATGAAATGATTGGACTGATAATATCATGCTAAATTTAGATATTTAAGGCAGATAATGATGCTTTTCTGTCACAATGATGCAAATTCATTCTTTATAATCTTAATGAAAATATTAGGGCGGAAAAAGTTTCATTCATACATTTTTTAAGGATAGAAAATTTGCAATCCGCATTATTAGAATTTGTGAATGTAAGCATGGTAATATCTAATAATATATTCAAAGAATTCATGTAAGCGTTTCGTGCATTTTTTCGAAATTTTAAATTGATAGAAATTTGCATTATTTTCAAATTATTTCGATTAGACTAAGACAAAAGCAAAAGAGCAAGGGCAGATTTTTACGACGAAGTTTAATAGAATATGACCACATATCGAATCTCGAGAAAATTTTGTGATGCCATTCTACATAATCCAGTAGTCAAGAAAAAAAATCATTGTTAGAAAAAATGCTTCAAACATTGCGTTTATTTACTTTTCATTCATTATTAAGCGATAAAAAAAAATGAAATGTTCTTTTTTTTTTCCTTTTTTTTTACTGATTTGAAAAAATTAGTACAAAAGTACTAATCTGAAATTGAAAAATTTTTTCCATCATACAGTTTTGTAACAATAAAAGGCGAGTTAAAATATTGTTTGCAGTTCAATTGAATAAATAATTAAATAATATAGCTTTGTTGAAGTTTGAATTTGAACTCTTCTCTTATTGTTTGAATATTTACTTTAATTAGTCGTTAAATTTTATTTATAAATAGAAAAATTTACAGCTTCATGAATATCCTAATCTAGAAACAAAGTTTTGAAAAATATATATGGTCTCACATTTTTTCTTATCACATATCACCACATCTGTTGACTTATTAGCTAACGAGTTACAAGCTCATACACATCCGGACTACATCCTGAATTGTTATTTGCTTTTACAATCAAGAAAAAGAAGGCTTGCATCTGTACATTTTCATTGCATATTATTGTTTTTTTTTTCTTTTTCATTTATTTTAAAATGAGGAAATTGGACTTTAATAATTAGTCTATTGAAATACATCAAACTTTAATTAATTTTTTAGATTTGAAAACTTACTTAAATTTGGTAGGGTTAGTGAGTTTTACAGAAACTCTCTACTAATTTTAGATTATGGTATGAGAAGATGCTACACGCAACTTTCAGCAAACATTATTAGGTTATCAGAAATGATGTTTTACTTCTTATATCATGACGTAATGATACAAATATACCTTACATTCTTTCAGTAAACATGGTTACGGACGTATAGTAAATGATATCCAAAACAAACATCAATATTTGTTGTACTGCTTGTTTACTCGAATCACAGAAGCAAAAAAAAAAATCATGGAAATCAGGTAACCAAAAATTTAAAAGTTCTGTAGATAGTACGGAGAGATGCTTTCAAGTAGGGGGCGGGAAAGATTTAGTTAGAATGTGGTGTAGCACTATTGAGAAAAAATAAATAAATAGTTGAGAATAATAAACAGAAGTTTGTAAGTTTACGATCTCTTTCCCCTGCTTGTTTCTCTTATATCATCTCTCTACCCCGCTTCCGTGGACGTCTTGTTTAGGGAATAAAATCACATTAAAGGTATATTGGCTTACATTATCATCAAATGAAAATGGTAGAAGCGGCATTGAGGCGCCCTCTCATTAGGAAGAGAGGAACGAAGAAGAGATAGTTGTTATAAAACAAAACATTTTTCTTGACCGTAGTAGCTTTTACCGCCCGCTGTTATTTTTTGTTAGCCACTAGTTCTTTTTCCTTCCGCTGAAATATTAAGTTAATTTAAATATTTTTTTTTTATTTATGAAAATCCAAACTAAATGCAAATTATAAATAAAGTAGCGTCTTTTGAAACAACACTGAGGGGCAGTTGAAGTTTGCCAGACAATCGAATGGATTAAATAAAATTATTTGATGAATGCCAATGTGAGCCATCTTTCCGATGGCTTTACTTCATCATTCAATTTTTCATTCAGCAATATTAAACTTGAATTATTAAATTTCATATATTGTATTACATTCTCCCAACACGGCATTAACTGTATGAATAATTTCACTGTAAAAAAAAAATAAATTTGTCGTCTGTAAAACTTTGGAAGCTAAAATCATTTCACCAAGTATTCTCGTACGCTGTTGTTTATCTGATAGTAAAAGTTGTCATAACGAGTATGTTCTTCAGTTTTCTTGATTCCATTACTTTGGTTATAATTATGCATTTAATATTTTTAAAATTTAATTTGTACGTTATTGATCAGTCGTTATTACCAGTTCATCAATTTACAATCGTTTACTACAAATCTTATTCTCTTAAAAAGCACTCGTTTACTATATTTTTTTATAAGACCAGTCTGGTACAACATGATCAGCGAATGCTTATCTATGGATGGTGGTAAGGAAAGAGATGACTTTTCGGCTCAGAATTTAATCTTTTTATTGACCAATATCAATTTGTTTATTTATTTACCTATAATTCACTGAGATTGACGTAGTAACTAGCTACAATCTTACATGATAGCAATGACAACTTTGCACTCTTCTACACGTCACCACTCATCACTGTATCTGGAACTGTGCTATCTACCTTATTATGCAATCAGAAGTAATGTGAAGCAAAGTAGACTAGCAGTTGCAAGCAACCTCCTGTCTAGCGTGACCACCACTTCTATACAAACATTTACAGACAGACAATTTAACTTCACGGAGACGAATACTGACGTACACACATATACACACACACATACATACATACACATACACACATATATATACACACATACATATATACACACATAAAACATACACACACATCCAGAGGGACGAATAGTAACGGGAGCATTAAGCATAGACAGCATACGGGGATGTAATTTCCCTTTTACTAGCTGTCAAGTCGCCGCCGGTTCCATTTTTCTTCTTGGTTTTTTTCCTCTTTTTTTTCCAAATTCATTGTAGTGAGATGGGTAGTGTGAAGACTGGAGGACAAAATCTCCTAGTAGAAGGAAGTAAACTAGAAATGAAGCAGGAACAAGCTAAGACTTCCTCTGCTCCTACAACATGTCATTTCTTGTCCACCCTCCACCCTCTCTTTCACTTTTCATCTATGCCGAAATACGAATAGGATTTCCTTGATGTGATGCATCTCAGTTTTAATGCTCCAACTCTTTCCCATTTGTTTCATTTTTCAAAATCGGTCCATTCATTTTTTGGTGCTTATCTAACTAAGTGAAAGTTAACTGCCTCATATGGCCATATTCACTTGTATCTACTACTATTTCATCAGCTGTATTAAAGTAACATAAATAATAATAATAATAGTAATAGTAATAATAATAATATCTATTTCTCTTACCGTTTCTAACATTTATTTATAAAAAATTGTTGTTTGCACGATTTAACGATTTTTACGAAATGCCTCGACAGGTGCTATTTTTGAAGTTCTGTTATTAAGAATATGTGGCTTCAGAATTTAAATTAGCTTTCGAAAGTGTTGTACTTATAATAGCAACTACCATTCGAAGAATGCAATTCATTCGATTAATGCGTAAAATTGCCAATTTTTATAAATTGATACATTTGAAGCATGGTATATTAGCTTAAATTCGGCATAATCTATCAGTACACATATCAGCATCTCGTCATTCGTTGCTAGTATATTATCTGTTACGCTATCATTGCTTTCCCTTCGATTGTTTAATGTGATTATTAATAATTTTTATCCATTTATAATCATCGTTAATTCATAAGAGTTATCCTAGCCTCCGTTTTTCTTATTTAGCAAACTGATTATGATTGATGAATTTCATTGTCATCTTAAGTTTTAAGCTCAAATTTTTTTTTGTAATAAACTCAACTAAATTAAGTTAGTTAGTTCTTTTATAAAATATATAAATCAATAAGAGTACTATAAATTGCCAGCTAAGATTTGTTATGCATTACCTTCTCGTCATTTTATCAATAATTTAATATGATCACTTATAATTCTTTCTATTTTTTTACCAGTTAATGAAAATGTTAAGAGAATAAAACAATTCGATAAAGAATGATATGAAACATTTTTTTTTTGTTCCGTTTTTTATTTTTATTACGTACTTTCACAATCACATAGTTTACGGTAATTTCATGTGGGAAAATAAAATTTCGAATTTTATTTACTTTTAGAAATGTGCTTGAAGAAAAAAAAACTTGTGTCATACGACGGAATGTGCGCTGGACCGGCTGACCGACCCCATGACGTGATGTTACTTTATAGGGCTGAGACGTGTGTTTAGGAAGTGATGTTTGCTGTGTCGTTTTCTCGTGGATTGGACATTGTGAAGTGGATTCCAAGGGCTTCTAGAGAGGTGTGTGTGTGTGTGTGCTAAACTCATACGATGACAGATTTAAAAATTAGTAATTCGTAGTTATGTTGAACGGCTGACCCCACGATGTGATGTTACTTGACAGAGCTGAGACTTAATCCATTTTTCTTTTTTACTAAACCATGGAAATTTTCGAATTATTTTACGTAACATATTGGTATTGCGTTTTTAGTGTAAATATTTCAAAATTTTTAGCAAACGAATTTTCTTTTTATGGTTTTGAAGTTCCAATTACTCATTTATCATATTTTCTCTTCTTTTTTTCTCTTGTGGTCGAGTAACTATTAAAACAGTATTTATTTTAATTGCCGAAATATTATATTTACATATAATAAGTACAATAGTAAATGAAGATCAGAAGATTTCATCTGTTTAGATTATAATCTGTAAAATGTTGGTGAACGTAGTGTGAGATGAATTTGTTTTTCGTGCATTTTTCTCAATGCTATGATTAATACTAACTTCCTTTCATCTTTTTTTTTGGGGTACACCAAGTCTAGATTAATTCAGCTTTTACTGAGTGGTACCTGGATAAAATATGAGCTGCATTTTTGGTGATGGAAACTGTGATTGAATTAATAAGTAAAGAATTAAACCCGTCAAGCGGCAGAACCCCCATTTCGATGTTAAAATATTGACCAATAATGTGTTACAGTTATAATTCGATCAGACCACGGAGAAAAACTGAGCTTCGACACTTGAAATTCAGTCGTCCTCTTATAAATTGGAAAAATGAACAAGGAAGTGAAAAAGTACAATACTATGAGTTTTTTCATTAAAATCATTTTTTTTGAAGGTAAAGATTT